GCCTGGGGGCCCGGGCCTCTGTGTTGGTGCCTGGATCCACTCTGGTGCGGTGGGTACCGGCCACTGCTGGCCCCAGGGGTTGCTGTATGTGGTTGCTGGTGGGGCTCTTCCGGTGGTCCTCTTTGGGGTGTGGGTGGGTGGCCCTTCCGGCGCGGGTGTCCCTAGGGGCTGCGTGCTTGGAGTCCCTCTCAGGGTCATTGGCACTGGTCTCCCTTATGTCGACTTCCGGCTTTGCGGGTCGCGTCTGTGGTCCCCTCACACTCACTTTGAAACATTCCATGGGAGAGATCCATGCATGCTCACAACTGCACACAAACAGGTGTTTACATCCTGTCAGACAGATGGTCTCACATTTGACTCTATAGTATTCGGTCTACAGAGGAGCTCATGGTCGACTTCCAGGTCATGTGTCTATAAAAAAGCCCACTTGATGAACCTTCCACCATCATGCTTAACAGCATCACTTATCACTTGTTTGTGCTGGTATGCTGTGTTTGGTTTTTACACAAGGTGCTGTGCATTATGGGTAAACGTCTATTTTGGTCTCATCTGTCTAAAAACATTCAGATGAAACTAAGTTGTGCTGCCTTGCTTTTACAAACAAAAGGCTTTCTCTTGCAGCCTTTCCAACCAGGTCATACCTGTTCACAGTCCGTCCATCCGTCCGTTTTCTTCCTCTTATCCATGGTCAGGTGACAGCACAGCAGCCTAAGCAGAAAGATCCAGACTTCCCTCTCCCCAGCTACTTGGGTCAGCTCCTCTGGGGGAATCCCAAGATGTTCGCAGACCAGCTGAGAGACATAGTCCCTCCAGTGTGTCCTCGGTCTTCCTCTGGGTCTCCTCCCAGTGGGACATGCCCGGAACACCTCACCAGGGAGGTTTTCAGGAGGCATCCTAACCAGATGAACCACCTCAACTGACTCCTCTCAACGTGGGGGAGCAGCGGCTCTACTCTGAGTCCCTCCTGGATGACCGAGTTTCTCACCCTTTCTCTAAGGGAGAGCCCAGCCACCCTGCGAAAGAAACTCATTTCAGCCTCTTATATCTGCGATCTCAATCTATCCAAAGCTTGTGACCGTAGATGAGACTGATAAATCAAAAGCTTCGCCTTCTGGCTCAGCTCTCGCTTCACCACGGTGAATTGGTACAGAATATGCATCCTTGCAGATGCAGCACAAATCCGCCTATCAACCACCCTCTCCATTCTTCCCTTATTCGTGAACAAGACCCCAAGATACTTAAACGCCTCCACTTGGGCAGGACCGCTTCTCTGACCTTAGGGAAGGCACCTTACCCTTTTCCAGCTCAAGACCATGGTCTCGAATTTGGAGGCACTGATCCTCATCCTGGCTGTTTTACACTAAGATGTGAACCACTCTATTGACAGTTGGAGATCACAATCTGATGGTCTTTTTTAAATAATGCTAAAATAGCCTTTGTTCTTTAACTTGCTAACTAGCCTGTAGGGTGTTCAGTCATTTCCCTGAGCTTTTCATGGTCTGTCTGACCTTGGGGTGAACTTCACAGTTGAGAAGAGTGGCAGCTATCTAAAAACTAAACGGTGTAAGATGAAGCTCTTGTCCTATAACATGTTTTCACAAAACAGGTGTGCCAAAAATAGGTTACAAAAATATCAGTCACAAGTTGTTTTCCGACTAATAAGTTCACATCTGCTGCAGATGTTTTTGCAAACTCCTACTGTGATGGAATTTGTATGTTTTCATCTTTGACTTTTTTTTACCCTTTGTTTTTGTACTTGCTTCTCCTCCAGATACTGGTGCCGTTATGCCGGCAAACCGGACCTCTGCCAGGCCTATGGGGTGAAATCCAGCCAGTACTGGAAGCAGCTGGTAGGAAAGCTGAAGAAAAGGGAGAACGCCTGTGAAGGAGAAAAAGTCCTGAAGGCCAAAACATGTAAGAAGGCTCCTGCCGAGGCCCACATGAAGCTGGCCCAGCGCAGTGGAGAGGAGGAAAAGAAGGGGGGGAAGGAAGGAGGGAAAAAGAAAAGTGGAGGTGGTGGGAAAATCTCTGATGGGGGGAAGGTAGAGAAGAGAAAGAGAAAGGAAAAGGACGATGAAGAGGAGAAGAAGAAGAGGGAGGAGAGGACTGACTCTGAGGATGAAGGAATGGTGAACGACATGCCGCCAGTGCAGACTTACTGCAGCGAGGGATGGCACTCGGTTTGCTCCTTCTTTGTCAAATTTTTTGAGGGAAAATAAGATGTAGAAAAGTGATCAGTTTCTGATAAATAGTCTGACTTTACGATCTATAAAAAAATACAACTGAGGGAAAATTGTTTTGTTCAATGTGGAGAGAACCAGGCAGCTTATTCACAATAAAATGTATAAAATCTACCAATCTGTTCTCTCAACATCAAATGTATTTGATCTTAGAACCTTTGGTAATTTCAGATATTTTTAGACCGCCTGACATTTAATTTGCAACAGTATAATGAGGTTGTAAAAATCGTAGTCAATTTTGAACGAAGGATTTGATTTGTTATAAATGTCCCTTAAATAATATTTGTTCAGGTTTACTCAAATCATAAAATAAAACCACTGTCATTGAGCAAAAATAGGCAGTTTGATCATATTCAATCATGCATTTTGTAAATTGATCATATTTGGTTTTGGAATTAATGTTTTTTGTGGGTATAGTTTAACTGTTCTAGAAATGTGAAATTACAGCACTGCAGATAAAACAGAGGGATGATGGAGCTTTTTAACCAAATAAATTAGAACTCGTGGTAGATAGTTTTTAGTGATGTCTACTGATATTTACAGTCCATATTAAATCATGTTTTTTGTCATTATTTCTATCATGGCACACTAAAACTTTCTTTAAACATCTTTGTAACTTTTGTACAAAAATGACTTAGTAACAGACGCCAGCTGATTTGTGTGTATTTGTCATGTTTACAAAAGTGTTAACAATATCTGGATTTCTTTAATAAACTGCTTCAAATGCAAAGACTTTCTCTTTTCCATTAAAAATGCATCAGCTTTTACACTCACCATGTAGAAGTGTGAAAAACAGCAACAAAAAGATTTGACTGGTCTTTGTCTGCAGCGGTGCCCAAAGTGGAACCAGCAGGCCAATTTGATTTGGCCCACCAGCAGTTGTCCTGGTTATTAGGTTGTAATTGTGTTAAGATTAAATATAACATACAACTAACTATAAGAGACATTTAAGGCCCTGTCACACTGATGTTTTGGACAACTTGTGCTTTTTTCCAACACGCTGGCACACGCTGAGGAAGAGAGAAAAAAAGCATCAATGAACACCTTCTTTTGTACATGATCATACTGTGTTCCTAACGACTTGAACATATATAAAACCTATGATTTAATGATCCCTGCCTTAAACATAATGTGTACAAGCTTATTATAACATGTTTGGACTTCTGTAGCATGTATGTGCAACATTAGCAGTAGCGGTGCGCGACGGCGCTTCTGAATAAATGAAAAATTTGTAACACAGTTGTTTACACTTAAATTAAAAATATTTGACCAAAGAAAAACTGGAGCAGGACAAGAGAGAAATGAATATGATTTCGATTTTTATTTCTGAGACTGTACGACCCACGGGAGAAATAGAATTAACAGCAGTTGTTATTTTATCCCATTCTTTGTCTTTAGCTGGTAATTCCACAACTGACGTTGCTAAAAATGACAGATTTTCTTTTCTGGATCTCTGACAGACGGACTTCAATCTCTGAACTCTTAAAGTTCTTCTTTTTAGTTTTTTAGTCTCCCCCGTCCCGACCGTTGCAAGAGTCAGATGCGGTTCTGAAAAAAAAACTTTTTAAAATGTCTCCAACTTTCAATTAATGCATAATTTAAGTTTTTTTTAGTTTGAGATCTTCATATTAATATTGTAGTGTTATACAACAGCATTAATAGCCAATTTAATATAATCTAACCAATTTATGTCATTAGTTACATTAAAATCTAATTCCAGTTCAAACAGAATAGCCAACAACATAATCAGCATAATTATGGAGTGTGATTTGTTTTCAACTCAAAATACCTTCAAACTAATGAGATATAAAGTTATTAATGAGAAAAATCTGTCTGGATAACAGCAGACTGACTGCACGTAAAACATACAACAGGTCTGGACCACTTGTAAATTTTGTTCGTATCTGAAAAAAATCTTACAATACGAGAAAATTGGTGAATGCCACAAATTCTCCTAAATCATTCATACACACAACTTAAGAACAAATCTGTTCGTACGAACAGTTCTTGCATGAGTTGTCTGATTTAGGTTGGTTCGATTTAGGGACCTAAAACTAGTTGGTCAAGACACACAGTCTAAGTCTAAGGACTAAAATTACTTTCAAAACTACAAAAATTACTTCATTGTCTGTTGCTACTTGTTTTGAGTTTCTAATAGCCCCAGTGCTGCCACTGACCTATGGATTTGCAAGTGATCAACAGTTCTCTGCCCAAAAAAAAATCCAGAACAGAATGAACACAACCAATCTCTGGTCTCCGCTGACAACCAAGAGGCTTTTATATGTAGGTTCTGTAATATTTTGTGAACACAACTGCAACAGTTTGTTGCCCCCTTTTTAACCAGGCCCCTATAATTATGCTGAGAGCTGAAGAGCACCATGTCTATAGTACACAATTTACATCCCCTGCATACTAATCAAAGCAGTCAAGGAAGCCCTTGTCTTTTTTGTTTTTGTATGTTGTAGTGTAGTACCAGTAAAGTTAATGAGTAGCCTGAGGGGGAACACAATGACCTATTTATTTATTTATTTATTTATTTATTCATTTATTTATGATTTATTCATTTATTTATTTTAGATCAGACAGATTTTGGTCAGTATACTTTTGTATTAGACAGAAAAATAATTGAAAGGGTTATTTTAGAACAAGTAGCTAAAAGCAATCAGGTGATTAGCTTTACTCCCTCTTATTACATGATTTTCACATTCAAACTCCAATACCTACATTATAACAATACCCACTTCACATCTCCACAGTGGCCTGATTGTCCTTGAACGTCACACACAAACACACTCTCAGGAGGCAGCAGGGTCAGAACCTCATAGATTAGAAGTCTAAGACCCCCTAATGTTGGACGCTGGCTCGCTGCCTGTGAGGACTTGAACACATCGAGAGTCTGGCAGCTCAGCTTTAATTTCTCTGCTTTTTTCCTGTTACATTAACGGACAGTATTAACAGATAAAAATATACTTAAATCAAGCACATAATGTTTGAATCTGTGTGCATATTATTTTTATTTTTAACATAAAGATGAGGAAAAACTCAATTAAAATAGTTATTGTTTAAATTACTAATCAAAGACACAGGGTTCAGAGTTGTCAAGGAACAGATTTTAAAAATGCTGATTAAATATTGTTTTTTCTCCATTTTAGTTCAAATTTTCAACCTCATTCACTTTGTTTGTATGTAAGATATTCATTTATGCCTTTACCTATATACTGTATATATTTTTTGTTAGACAGAAAAAAAGGAAAAAAGCTCAGTTGCCAGTGAAAGCTTTTCTATCAACGTGACGAGACAATGTAGACGATTAGCTTTAAAGCTAAATACTCAAAAAAGTAAACCTCAAGGCTTTTTAAAATGCTTGAAACATTCCAGTTGCTTTTTGTGTGATTGAAGCTTTTACTTTCAGATCTCTGCTGTCCTCAGGTGGCAAATTCTGTTACAAAAAAAAATCTATTAATATAATTAGTTTCAGCCCGAAGCAATGTTTGTTTTTAAAATCAAACAGGAAATATGTTATTTTTGATTCAAATAAAATAATATTTCACAAACCTAAGACGAGTTTGTAAAATAGTTCAATAAATGTCTGCAAACATTTCACTTTTAAATGACTAATCATAAAACTTTAATTGAAAGTGAGACAAAAAGGATAACCTCAACAAATATAATTTATTTATAAAAAAATGAAACAAATAAATTTGTTGTTCTTTATAAGAGATGTAAATCAGCAGGTAACAAGTAAATAACAGTATAGCACCGCCAGGGGGCACTGTTGGATCACAACTGTCTCAGTAAAGCAGTCGGTCTTAGTGAGGAGTTTTTCTAGGTCAGGGGTGCCCAAACATTTTCTCTGATAGGGCCAAAATTAAAAAACATTATCCCTGAGAGGGCCAAAATTATAATCAATCTGAGGGCCGCGGGCCAAACGCAATAATATAAGAAATGCAAATCTTAAGTAAAGTTGTTTTATTTTTTATAATTAAGCTAGCAGCCAGTGTGGTTGCCCACATTCTTTAGTTTTTTTTTTTTTCAACCCATAGACATGGAGAAAATTCAACGTATGCTCAAGCAACAAAGGCTCATGGGACTTTTCCTAATTTAAAATTTGAGTATATGTGGTCTTGTCAGGTGTGCAAATCTATATATGGGCTTAAATCTAATCTAAATGTCTCTTGTAGTTACTTGTATTTTATATTTAATCACAATCTAGTGATCAGGACAACTGCTGGTGGGCCAAATCAAATGGCTCGGTGGGCCAACTTTGGCCCGCGGGCCCCACTTTGGGCACCTCTGTTCTAGGTGAAGTTTAATTGAAATTTAGTTTGGTAGTATTTTTTTTCTCTGATCACACATAGCTTTAAAAAAATCCTCAGAATACAAAAAAAAACGTATTCTTATTGACAATAATAAAGATTTAGCTTTAAAAAAGACTAATAATCTTGTTTTCTGTCACCTGCCATAATGTTTTTGCCAGATTGTGTGTGTTCATATATCTGTTGTATTAGCAAAATATCTAACTTGGCAGATTTTAGTGAAACTCAAACAAACTGATTTTTAAATAAACATTTACAACTTGTTACCCTTTGGGGTCAAGCACTTTCACATTGTCTGCAAACACTAAATAATATTAGAAAACAAAACATGTAGAAATTCAGCTTCACAGATATTAATGGTTGAAAACCATTGTCCACGCACACTCTGAGTTATGCTTTCTATTACCCATTACAGTCAACTCTGTCTGTGGATTCTTTAGGAAAAACTCAGAGTTTTACCCCTGCATTTTATTAATTTTTGATGTTTGCCAACTGGTTTAAGAATGGCTATAATTCAGATGATTGTATTTATTTTGGAGTAATTGGAGTAATTCACCATAATGGAGTAAGATACTGTATGTTGTGACAGTATTTCAGAGTCATTAATAATAATAATAATAATAATAATAATAATAATAATAATAATAATAATAATAATAATAATAATAATAATACATTTTATTTGAAGGCGCCTTTCATGGCACTCAAGGACACCATACAATTTAAATACAATGCAATAAAACAAAAAGAATAAAGCAAAGAACAAAATGACAACAAGACATAATTTATGTAACAATTAATAAATAAAAACATTGTATAAAACAAAACATCCTACAAAAAGTAGGGTTAATGGGAGATGGTGATTAATCGGAATAAGCCTGTTTTAATAGAAGAGTTTTAATCTGTGATTTTAAAATGGAGATGATAGGAGAGTTTTTGATGTCCGGTGGGAGAGAGTTCCAGAGGTGGGGTGCTGAGTAACTAAAAGCTCTTTAGCCCATAGTGGTCTGATGAGCTGGTGGTTGAGTGAGTTGGATGGAGGAACAAACTGAAAAAAAAATCCCATAAAACACTTCAATATAAAATGTTCTGACAGTAAAACTGAAGACTCAATTTAAAACAGATTAACTATTCAAATCATATGAATTAATATGGCTGCCATGACTGGCCAAGACAAAACTGGCTTTTAACGAAATATTTCTTTCAGCTATTTCAGTTATTCAGCTAAAAGTCATCTTCAGCTTGTAATTTAGGTACTAATGGATCACACAGGATTTTCCATATTTGAATGAGATTGCATATAATTTTATTTTATTTTTATTATTATTTTCAAGGTTTGACGAACCAGCTTCAGCTTCTTCTGACATGAAATGAGGCTGATACTTATAGTATTATACAATGCTAGGCCTTGAAT